AATTGAACCCAGAGCCTTTGCACAGAGCTATATCCCCTGCCCTTTTTATTTTGAAAGAGGATCTCTCTTAAGTTGCTTGAATTTAAAGCTGGGCTTGAACTTGTGATCCTTCTGCCTCAGCCTCCCAAAATGCTAAGATTACAGGTGTGTGCCACCACAACTGGCTACATTTTAATTGGAGTGTTTAGTCATTAGCATCTTTCCAGTTGATGTATTTATTAAACATGCACTTTTCAAAATAGGTTTGTTTTGGTTTCTTGCTTTGTTTTGGTTTTTGGTTTTGGCTTTGTTTTTTTCAGGTGGAGTCTCACTGTGTTTTCCAAGCTAGCATCAGATTCCTGGGCTCAAGCAGTCCTCTATCTTCAGCCTTCTGAGTAGCTGGAACTGTAGGCACATGCCACCATTTCTGGCTTGGAAACAATTTTTTAGGATAGTAGTTTAGCTCATCCTTACAGAAGCTTAACCTTTAGAGAAAATAACTGAGCAATATTTGTCTTTACTATACAGTTACAATAAAAACAACAAAAAGCACATATATGAAACATGGAATCATTTATATTAGACACTGTAATTTTCAGGTACTGTCAGCTGGTACTTTTTTTTTTCTTTTTTTGCAATACTGGGGATTGAACCCCAGGATGTTCTACCACTGAGCTATGTCCCCAACCCTTTTATTTTGAGGCAGGGTCTAAGTTGCCCACACTAGCCTCAAGCTTCCAATTCTCCTGCCTCAGCCTCCTGAGTAGCTAGAATTACTGGTGTATACCACCTGGGCCAGCAGCTGATACATATTTTGATTATGTTAAAAAATAGAGGTCTCAGGAGGCTTGTTGCAGCAAAGAAAAAGTAAGAAATATGGTACAGTTCTTGAACCTTGGACCTACCTTGAGTAGTGGAGAATCTATAGCATGTGTGTTGTAGCAGGCTGTTTGTATCATTGAAATCTCTAAAAGGTTCACCATCACTCGTTTATAATCTTTCATTCCTAAATTCTGTGTTTCCTGTCCCTTCTTTGTTTTTCTTGTTTTGGTTTGGTTTGGTTTTTTGAGACAGTTTCTCTATGTAGTTCAGGCTGGCCTTGAACTCACGGTGTAACCCAGGCTGGCCTCAAACTCACTGGGATCCTCCTGCTTCAGCCTCCCTGGTGCTGGGATTACAGGGTTGTGCCATCATGCCTGGCTCCTCCTGTCCCTTCTTGTCTGAACATTTCAGAGTACTTATTTTATGGCTTTTTCAGATTGCAGTACTATTTCAAGTCCTTCCTATATATCCAATATGTAAATTGACTCTTGGCCTTGAAGTTCCTCATGTATTTTATAACTTTATGGGAGCTCCTCTTTAACTGTAGTTACTTTGGAAGGATTCCATGTATGGCTTGGGCTGGGAAAACTCTTTTGAAATGGTTTCTGACTTGCTTCCAACCTGACTCAGCTAGATTCATTGGCTTGGAAGTAGTTTTTGGTTGATTTCAAAATGGAGTCAGTGAATAGTGTGAACTTAGGGTCTGCATTGGTCAAAGGTCAGGATCTTAATAACTAGTCCTTGAACATTTAGTGTCCATACTGAGATGTATTTAGACCTGAAAACTACCTTTTTTTGTTTGTGAGGTAGGGTACTGGGAAATTAAACCTAGAACGTTAAACATGCTAGGCAACGACTCTAGCACTGAGTTATATTCCCAGGCCTTTTTTTTTTTTGAGATAAGATTGGGCTCAAGGCCTTGAATTTGATCTCCTGCCTCAGCCTTTCAAGTAGCTGGTATTACAAGCATTCACCACCCTTCCTCTTTCTTTCCTTCTTCAGGTTATTTGGATTTTTTTAGAATTTCATTTTCATTTATCTGTTGGCTATTTCTTTGCATTACCTTTTGGAGATTTTTCTGTTTTGATTTTGGTTTTCTGGGGTTGAGGGAGGTTCTGCTGGTTTGGTTTGGTTTGGTTTGGGTTGGGTTTTTAATTTTTTTTTTTTTTTTTTTTTTTTGGTACTGGGGATTGAACTCGGGTCCTTGCGCTTGCACAGCAGACATCGAAACCACTGAGCTAAATCCCCGGCCTGGGTTTTAAATTTTTAAGACAGGATCTCACTGTATACTTCAGGCTGGCCTTGAACTCACTATGTGGCCCATGCTGCCCTTGACTTTGCAATGATCCTCCTGTCTCAGCCCCTGGAATGTTGGGATCATAGGCATGTGCCACATCCCTAGCTGAATTACCTTTTAGTGGTTACTCTTAAGGATTGCAGTATGCATCCTTAATTTCACTAGCACCTCTGGGATGGCTGCTGATTGCCTACCTTTCTAAGCTCTAGGGATCCATTGGGGATGGCAGGCACAGCAGTGCAGAGGATGATGTGGGACATCCTTGAAGGGTTGGTTGTCTGTATCAAGGGACATTACCATAATTACTGATGACACTGAGCATTTCCTATCCTTTAGTAAATTTAATCTTCACCATAGCTCTGTGAAGGTCAATACAGTACCTTCTGCAGATCAGTGGCTGAGGCCAGTGTCAGGCCAAGAGTCATACTTGGCAGCCTTGGCTCCAGGACCTGCCTGCTTAGCTGTCTAGAACTGCCTACAGGAATCAAGGCCAAGCGTTCAACGCAGCTTTGTGACCAACCCCTTTGTCTTTTTCTTTTTTTTTTTTTTCCTAGGTATACAAAAGAGCCAAGGCACTGGACCAGTCTGACAATGATATGTCCGCCGTGTACCGAGCCTACATACACTAAGCCGTCAACACCCTGCCCCACTCCTCTGATCCTCCCTCTGCCCCCTCTTCCCAATGTGGGGTTGGGGTCCTGGAACTTAACTCTGGACCAGTCTGCCTGTCTCCATTTCCTTTTATACAGACTTGAGACTCGCCATTAGCACAGCACACAGCAGTACCCCTCCCTGACACCTGGGAGGGAGGGGTGTCACAGGGTTGGCTTGTGAGGAAGCTCTTGAGCTGGGCACTGCCCTGGACTAGGTGGTTACACACACACACACAAACACTCACTCACACACACACACACACTCACCCCAGGATAGAAGCTGCACAGAAACTGCTGCTGCCTGGCTTTTTTTCTTCCAAGCTTGTCTTATCAAACCCCTTCCAGTTGAGGAACTAGAATCAGCAGAGGTTGACATTGTGTCCACGTCCCTACCTGGACCCCTGCAGGGAGAGGCTCAGGGCCAGGATGAACCAGCACCGACTCCCAGCAGCGGCTCCTGTGGGCCCTCCAGCCTCAGCTGAGGAGGATTTTCAAGTCTAAGCTACCAATGTGCAGCCACCTCTTGTAAAGGCCTTTGTAAACTGAGAAGAGACTGCCACCATCCCACACAGGTGGACTTGGCTCTGCAGCAAGAGCAGTGAGCAGCCAGCCTGCAGATGAGCACGGCCACCCAGCTCCCCTGCTACTGCTCAGCACCCACTGGCACTGCAAGCCTGACCTGGGTCGGAGGTCCTTGCTTCCCTGCAGTGGGAGCTTGTTGCTCAACAGGCTGTTTTAGTGTTTGGATTTGCATTCCAGCCCTTGGGAAGGGTACCCTCAGGACCCTGAGCAGTGAAGAGTGAGGGCAGCTCCTTCCTGTTTCCGTTATGCCACAGTCTTCACCTGGCTCTGGAGAGCCATTGAGCTGGCCACACTGGCCCAGCTTGCCCTGCACAGATCCTCTGCATGTCCCATCTCTTCACTATTCTCTCCCACTTTTCCTCCCATGGAGACAGTATTTCTGTCTGTCTGTCCTATCTTTGGTGCAAACCCAGCCTGACCAATGATGAGCATGTCTTAGGCTCAGTTCTTGATAGGGAATGAGTGTCTGTTCCAGCCAGCATCATGCTCTTCAGCACTGCCCAGGTCGGGGTTTGTCAGGTGGGAGAGACCTGGGCCTAACCTATCAACCTGAACTAACTGGTCCCTCAGAGGTGGAGCTGGGACATCCTTGAGGCCCTAGCATTTCTCCTTGGATTAGAGGACCAGAAGGGGCTTAAAATGTCACATGAGAACAAGAAGGAGTTACCCCCAAGGGATGTCAGCTTTTTCTCCCTCTCATGGGCTGGGTTTTGCAAAGTCACAATTTACAGGTGAGCATTTACAGCGGAATACTTAACTATGTAAGGTGGCCACACTGGTGTGGGGCAGGGGAGATGTCCTCTGGTATGGCAGACTTGTTCACTGGGATTTCGAACTCACTTGAACACAGCCTGTCCTAGTCTTGGTGGACACTGAGGGTGGGGGTGGGGAAGGCGCTGTAATGAAACCGGTTAGTCATTGTTGTCTTAATATTGTTGACGATTCTGTAAAGTTTCTTTTTATGAGTATTTGTTTAAGCTATTTCACCTTTGTTTTTTGAAATCCTTCCCTTTTAAGGAGAAAATGTGACACTTGTGAAAAAGCTTGTAAGAAAGCCCCTTTTTTCCTTTAAGCCTTTAAATGGCAAATCTAGGTGATTAAGGTTGTGAATTTTTATTTTTGCTTTATTTTTAATGAACATTTGTCTTTCAGAATAGGATTGTGTGATAATGTTTAAATGGCAAAAACAAAACATGATTTTGTGCAATTAACAAAGCTACTGCAAGAAAAATAAAACATTTCTTGGTAATACAGTTGTGCTGCGAGGTCCCGCAACGTTTGGGTCCTCGACCCGCAGGCCATCAGCATCCAGGTCTCGCCTTCCCAGGGAAGCAGGGGCGAGACCAACGGGCCGTGTAGCCAGGCGAGCCAATGGGGAGACTAAGCAGGAACGGGCCGCTCCGTGGGCCAATCAATGGGCGTACAGGGACCTGGGGGGTCCTTCAGTGCGAGCCAGGAAGGAGACAGGTGCCGGCGGTATCTACGCAGCCTGCATCTCCGGATCCCGCCGGTCTTCTGAGCTGCCGGCCAATTGCTGTCTCGGAGACGGCCTAGGGGTGGGGCCGGCACCCGCTCCACCAATCGGCGCCGAGAGCAGGGGTCGGCGTCGCGTACAGTCGGGAAGAAGGGGACAGCCCTGGGCGGCAGCTGAGATGATGGCGACCGCGATGGCAGCAACGGGAGCGGAGCGGGCGGTACTGGTGAGCGGGCAGTGCTGATGAGCGGGCGGGCGGTGGGCGACGGGTGACGACGGGCGGTGACCGCCGCACTGCTCCGCAGGAGGAGGAATTCCGCTGGCTGCTGCACTCCGAGGTGCATGCCGTGCTGAAGCAGCTGCAGGACATCCTCAAGGTAACGCGCACGGCTGCCCCCGGACCTTTGCACTCGCTGTGCCCCCGCCTACCCTCCTTCCCACTGGGGCCCTGCTACTAGTAACGCCGCACCTGTTTCCTGGGCACCCTCATAGTGCTAGGCGCAACGGTGCAGACAAGGCCCCCGCCTCGGGGAACAAAATCTAATCACGGCCTCAACGAAGCCGCACCCAGCTAGCACCAGCAGATATGCGAGTGCAGTGAGTTCCTGGAACCGGCAAGAGCCCCTAAAGCAAGCCCTACAGCTCCAGCAAGGAAGGCTTGCTTTGAAGCAGTGACATCTACTTTGAGAGCTAAGGATTCCTCCTCTCCCCCCCAGTGAAATCTCATCCAAGCTACTCAGCCTCTCTGGGCCTCTCTTTCATCAATTACAAAAATAGGTAACAGCGCTGCTGTGATGATAAATAAACCAATGCCTGCTGTGGTCCAAACTGTGCTCCCCACACCCTAGGACCTCAGCTCAGCTAGGAGGCCACTCTGTCCTGCTTTCCCTGTGGGAGACAGTAGGTGCTCAATGTGGAATGACCAGATCTGAGCTCACTTGGGCCCTGGGGACAAGGCTGGGGCCACCCCACACCAGCTGAGCCCAGGGTCAGGCCAACCCACCTGTGCTCTCCCAGCTGACCCAGGTCAGCTCCTTCTGGAAGGAGCTCTGGCTCAACTCAAGTGGACTTGACTCAGTGGACTTTACTCGCTGCCCTGTCTCCCACAGGAGGCTTCTCTGCGCTTCACTCTGCCAGGTTCTGGCACTGAGAGTCCTGCCAAGCAGGAGAACTTCATCCTGGGCAGCTGTGGGTAAGCTGGGCAGAAATCCAAAGGAGGGGCTCCATGGTGGGGATTGCTTGGGGACAAGAGGCATGGCTGCAGCGCTGCCCTGCAGGGAGGTGGGTGTGCAGTGCATCCTGGACCAGCCAGCCGTAAGCCAGCAGTGGGAAGAGCAGCCAATGGCGGGAAGAGGGGCCAGCGGCAGGTCCCGTCTGACCCTCACATGTTGTAGCACAGACCAGGTGAAGGGCGTGCTGACTCTGCAGGGAGATGCCCTCAGCCAGGCGGTGAGTCCCCCAAACCCTCATCTTCCCATCCTGCCAGTGGGAATGCCCTGGGCGCTTCCTGCTTAGCTCCACCATCAGTCAGCTTCATTACTCTGATCAGTATCCTTGATCTCTCTGACAGCAACCCCTGGACTTCCTTGTGGGATTGGGGTGTGGGTTTAGTGAGAAGTGCAGGAAAGCAGTTGCTTTGCACTCAGCTCAGCCTGGCTCCTGGACACAGTGAAGCATGGACATTGGGAGGATCCATCTGGCCCCAGATCAGCGTTGAATCAGCCAACATCTGAGTACCAGTCTGCGCCCAACCCTGTGCCAGGCACCAAGGCGTGGGGGAAGGTCCCTGTCCTTCATGGCTTCTGCCCATTGGCCACCATCCTGTGATAGCTACCTTCCCCCACCGCCCTTCCCCTTTCTCCATCTCTTTTCCCTTTTGCCTCCTTGTGGCTCCTCTCAGGCCTGAGTTCCTGTTTTCTGACCTCCCCATTTGCCACCACCACCACCCCCAGCTGAGACCTCAGGAGCCTCTCACCCTGTGGAGTGCCAGGGGCCTCACCCCTCAGGGGTTCAGGAGCTTAGTGTAGCCAAAAGCATGAAGATGTCCCCCTGCCCCACTTATCCCACTCTCCCCATCAGGATGTGAACCTGAAGATGCCCAGGAACAACCAGCTGCTACACTTGGCCTTCCGAGAGGATAAGCAGTGGAAGCTGCAACAGGTAACTGCAGACTCAGGAGGGGCAGGCAGGGGCAGGCCCAGCTGGCTCCTCTGGGGCTGGCCTGGAAGATTTGTAGCCACAGATGGCCTGAAAGTGAGTTTCCTAGCAGCAAAGCTGGGCCCCACAGCCTTCTTTGTGTGGGGAGCTGGGAACCTGTTCCTTCCTGTGGGCTCTTTGGCTCTGCTGGGACAGCTGATACTCCCCCTGCACAAGCCACTCCCCTGCCTGAGCCTCCAGGCACTTCCTGTGGCTCTGGAACCAATCCCGGGATTTCTGCTAGCCCCCACCAGTTCCTCTGGCTCTCGTGGGTCTCAGCTCAGGAGTTACCTCCCTAGGGCCCCCTCTGTGTTCCCGCCCCACTATGTTGGTTTTCTCCTGGGTGGTCTTGCAGACTTGTCTGTGTCTGTCCTCTAGAACGTAAGTTCCTCGAGGGCAGAGAGCAGGGCTGCCTCAGCCCCTGGAGGGTGTGGGCCTGGCTTCTGGAGCACGGGAAGAGCAGCTTCAGGGTGGAATGGGCAGGTCAGGCTCCAGCCCTCCCACCCAGGGTCAGGCCCAGTGTGGCTCTGCCCTGGAGCTGTGCCCTAGAGCCATGCTGAGGCCTACAGAGGACCCACCCTAATAACTCCTGCGTGGATGCTGTTTTCAGATCCAAGATGCCAGAAACCATGTCAGCCAAGCCATTTACCTCCTTGCCCACCGAGATGAGAGCTACCAGTTCAAGACAGGTGCTGAAGTCCTCAAGGTGAGCTGCCCAAACCCAGCCTGGGCCCCTGGAGACCTCTGGCCCTGTACTTGTGTTTCTGCTCCCTCATGCCCAGGCTTAGCATTAGGCTGGCTCTTTCTCCTCCGTGTTCACATGTCCCCCTGTAGCATAGTGGCTCACAACCTGGGATCAGTCCCTGGCCCCCAGCTGTGAACTGTGCAATCTGAAGTCATCTGCTTAGTCACCCTGTGCCTGTATTTCTTCACCTGTAAAATGGAGACAAGCTGTAGCAGCTGTTAACCATGGTAATGAGGTAAAGTGGCTTCCCACAAGCACCCAGCTACTGCTATAGTAGTCATCACAGTGCTAGCTGTGAAAGTAATTTAACAAGTGAAGTTGGGTGTGGTGGTGCATGCCTGTAATCCCAACACTGGGAGGTTGAGACAGGAGGATTGCAAGTTGGAACACGTTCTGGGCAGTTTAACAATTTAGTAAGGCCTTGTCCTGAAATTTAAAAAAAAAAAAAGCCTGAGTTGCAGCTCAGTGTGAAGACCTTGGGTTCAATCTCCAGTACAGTACTGAAAAAAAAAAAATTGGGCCAGGGATTTAGCTCAGTGGTGTCGCCACCTGCCTCACAAGTGCAAGGTCCTGAGTTCGATCCCCGGTACCAAAAAAAAAGGAAAAAAAAAATTAAAGTGAGGCCACACGGCATGTAGGAGAGATGACTTGGATACCTAGGATTTGTGCCTCAGCTCTGCCCTTGATTTGCTGTGTCCTGGCTGGCTCACCTTTGGCAGTAGCTGCATGACCTCCGGGAGGCAGTGGAAGCTGGGCCTGAGGAGTAGGCTAAGGCTTTGCCCCATGGCCCAGAGAAGAGGGAGGCCTCCAGATGACTGCCCTGCCTACTGCGACTGGGCTTACCCTTTGGAGCCTCAGTTTCCTTACTGCAAAAACTGAAGGCCTCAATTCCCCCATCCCACCACCTCTTCCAGGATGCTGTCCCTAGCCTGTTGGACCCAAGCCATATTTGGGGCCCTTCTAAGCCTTCACGGCCAACTGCAAAGCCTGTCCTCTGGGGCTTATCTCCCAGAATCCTCATCCCCATGGGGCCAGCGCCAGGGTCTCCACCACAACCTCCTGAATGGTGGTCACCCGTGCTGGTGCTGTGGGGTTCAGGCATGAGAACTGTGACACCCCAGCGGGAGTAGGGGCCAGGGAAGGTGAGGACCAGGCCTGATCCTGCATAGCAACTGTAACTCCACCTCCCCAGCTCATGGATGCTGTGATGTTGCAGCTGACCAGAGCCCGAAACCGGCTCACCACCCCAGCCACTCTCACCCTGCCCGAGATCGCAGCCAGCGGCCTCACGGTCAGTGCCTCAGCCAACTCCTTCTTGCTATAGGAGGCCCCCCATAGAGGGGCCCGGCTTGCCCCTGGGAGGGAAATGAGTGCCAACCTCTCGATTGCTGCTGGTCAATCTGCATCTGTGCGTTTCTTGGTGGGGTTCTGGGCCCCTGTCCCCTCTCTACCAGATGTCTTTTTTTTTTTTTTGGTACTGGGGATTGAACTCGGGACCTTCCACATTTGAAGCAGGCAGCAGAACCACTGAGCTAAATCCCCGGCCCTCTACCAGATAGCTTAACGCTGCCCTGGGCCAGGATCCCAAACCAGCAGCACAGGAAGATCCCAGGGCACCTGGGGAAAGTCTGGAAACCTCAGTTGGTGGGAGGAGCATCTAGGGTAGGCATTGGGATCCCCATTTGGTGATTCTACAGAAACTGGGCCCCCAGGGGTACAGCCTGCGGTAAGCAGGACCTCACCCGGCTCCCCACTTCCTTCCCACCAGCGGATGTTTGCTCCTACCCTGCCCTCCGACTTACTGGTCAACGTCTACATCAACCTCAACAAGCTCTGCCTTACAGTGTACCAGCTACACGCCCTGCAGCCCAACTCCACCAAGGTGAGTGGACCCCTACCCTGCCCCACCCCGTGCCCACCCCAAAGGCTCTGAAAGCCTGACCAGGTTCTGTGCCTCTGCCCAGAACTTCCGCCCAGCTGGAGGCGCAGTGCTGCACAGCCCAGGGGCCATGTTGTAAGTTCACAGGGGGGTCCTGGCACACCTCCCCCCACCCTGTGGCACCTGGCGTTGGGCCCAGGCCCACCCAAGGGACCTGTCCCTCATCCCCCAGCGAGTGGGGCTCACAGCGCCTGGAAGTGAGTCATGTCCACAAGGTGGAGTGTGTGATCCCCTGGCTCAATGATGCCCTGGTCTACTTCACTGTCTCCCTGCAGCTCTGCCAGCAGCTCAAGGACAAGGTGTGTTGGGAATGCTGTGGGGGAACAGGGTCTCAGCCCCCAGATGGCAGAACTCTTGAGGCCCTTCATTCCAGGGCGGGGGCTCTTGTCAAACCTCCTAGCTGGCCCCAGTCGTAAAGCCCGGTATATCCGTGCACCAGGCAGCTAGGCCACGGTGCCACTTGGAGCCCTGCTCTCCCCAGCACTGACCTGGACCTCACCCGGGGCCTTGGAGGGGCTGAACACATCCCCAGCATTCTGCTGACCATCCCCTCCCTTCGCAGATCTCCGTGTTCTCCAGCTACTGGAGCTACAGACCTTTCTGAGCAGCGTCCCCCAGGAGCCTGTCCCCTGGGAGGGTGGCTCCTGCCCACAGAATGCCTTTCCCCACCTACACAGTCCTCAGAGTGTTATTTATCTCCCTCACCCACCCTGCCCCATTCGCTTGCATTGCTGTGGTCAGACCCAGGAGTATTAATTAGGAGGAAGGACACTCACTGGTTTCGTGTTTGGTTGAGGTTTTGTGTCAGGAAGGTGGAGCCAAGGGGTGGCCACACTCCCAGCCCTGCCCTCCAAGGCAGCATGGGAACCTTTGGACTGCTGGTGGCCAAGCCAGGCCTTTTCCTCCTCTCCAGCTGCCCCCGGGTGGTGGGGGCCACTCAGCTCCTGCTGAGGGAGGTTGTGGGTGGGGCCCTGAGCTGTGAGTTGGGAGGGAAGGAAAAGGGGCAGTGTGCTGAGCTGCCCTGTGAATGAGCTGAAAAGCTGGGATGTTTGTTCTGAAGCCTCAACACACAGCCTGTAAAAAATAAAGATCATCAGACTTTGCCTGGAATCCTTGTCTGTCTGTCTGTCTGTGGGGACCAGACTAGGTCTCCCTGCTTTTCAGTGGCCTCCCCTGTTCCCAAGGCCTGGTTTCCCCACAAACTTACCTTTGAGACAGGATCCCCTGGCTGCTGTGGGTCCAGGAAGGATGGGGTCAAAAGCTCAGGCCCTGTGTCTGAGACCATGAGCTGGTGACCCAGGGGGCCATTCTGGCATCCCGTGGAGCATTGAGCCCCCATGCTGCCCACCTGCAGGGTCTAGAGACACAGTCCAGGCTCAGTCATAAGCTTTATTTCTTTGGCCCCGGGACACATGCCAAGGCACTAACGTTAGGGTTCCATGGCCAAGTTATCCACTCCCTTGAGTCTTTCCTGCAAGAGAAGTACAGAGAAGGGCCGTGTGGGAGCCACTCCTTGGCCCCAGCTGGCCTCTCCCCACCTCTGCCCTTCCCAGGACAAGTCTACCTCCCCCAGGATCCTCTTCCTCTGCTCACCTTCCCGCGTTTCACCTTCCGGTGTCTGGGGGAAGCACAGCAGCAGTGACAGCAGCAGTGGGCAATGACCAGCAGCAACAAGAACAACACAGCGCCTGGGGACAGGACAGGTGTCCAGATGTGGCCCCGAGCAAGGCTGATGGCGGGGGTGGGTGGAGGCCATGGCCACACTCACCCACAAAAGTGAGAAAGACCACGAAGGCAGCAGTGTCCCACTCAGACTGGAACAGGTGGCGGCTCTTCAGTCTCCCCAGCACTTCCTGAGCCGTGACCTCCAGCTCCTCCATGGACAGGCTCATTCCAGACAGAGCCACCTGTCAGGGCCCCCAAAGGGCCACCTCAGAATGGGCCCTGCCTCCTCCTGTCCCAGGCCCAGCACCATTCTGTGTCACCTCCCTCACTATTCCAAGCCCAGCTTTTCTTCCACTCCTTTCCTGGCCCCATCCTGGGCAGCCCCCACCCCAACCACCATCCTCCTCCCTCCCTGGGAGTCCTGAGCAGGACAGGCCCCACCTGCCTCCCCACCAGTCTTCCAGCAGCTCCTCCACTCCCCCGGCCTGGAGGTCCCCAGTCCCGAGCTCAGACTGCTTCCTGCTTCCGGATCCACCTCACCTGAGGCCCTGGCAATCAGCCCCACCCTCCAAGGGCTGTCAGCCCCAGGAGGGGAACCCAGGGCCCTGAGGCACAGGCCTGGCAGCTGCCTCTTTCCCAGGGTTTTGTTTTCTAGTCTTTTCTGAATATGCCAGACCAGTTAGAATAGGTGGACACTCAGCCACTATTGACTTCCTGGATGAAGGAAGGGAGGGAGAAGAGCAGTAGGCAGGGGAGGAGAGGAGGCAGAAAGGAGGGAGAGCTTGTCCAAGGTCCTGTCACCTTCCCTGGGCAGTTTTCCTTGAAATAATCCTTACGAAGAAAGTGCTTATTGTCTCTCAGACGAACTCCTTCCTCAAAACCCGGGGTCTGGGCCCCTTGATCCTGACCTCTCTAATTCTCCCCAGGAAAGCACCTCTCTCCTTCCTGCTTTCATGGCCTGTCGGGGCCCAGAGGCTGTGTTCACCATAGAGATGGGGCTGTAAACTGAGGGGACACAATTTCTTTTTCTTTTTCTTTTTTTTTTGTGGTACCGGGGGTCGAACTCGGGTCCTTGCACTTGCGCAGCAGACAGGGAAACCACTGAGCTAAATCCCCAGCCAGGACACAATTTCTTGATCATGTGGCTCTTTCGGCAGGAAGAAAAAAAAAAACCTAATGTTAGGTGCTGCACCTCATACTGTACATGCCTTACCTCATGTTGATCCTAGTGTGGGTATTTTTGCTTTTCCCATGTCACAAATGAGAAAACTGAGGCCTAATGAAGTTAGAGCAACCACCCCAAGTCACACACCTAGTATGTTCATTTCCCGTTACTGCTGTGACAAATTCAGTGCTTTCAAACAGCACAAATTTATTATCTTACAGTTCTGAATGCCAGAGTCTAACATGGGCTGATGGGGCTGTGTAAAGGAAAATCTATCCCTTGCCTTTTTCAGCCCTTACACCCCACCCACATATGAGCTTAGGCTGGTTACCTGAACCCTCTCTACCTCAGATTCCTTATCTGTAAAATGGGTATATTACTAGTCCCTTGATAAGGCAATAGTTGAGGTTCAAACTTTCACCAACCTGGTGGGTCCCTCTGGGCTTCCACTGAGGCATTTCCCCCAGTTTTCACAATTACATGTCACTTGCCCTCACACAGGGTGAGTGCCCTGGAGGAAGTGTTTTGTCTGCCTGGAGGCTTATGATGTCCCCAGAAGTGCACCCTGCTTCTGTTCCTGCTCAGCTGTCAGGTCACTGGAACCGTGGTGTCCTCCACTAACAATGCCCTCGTTTAGGTTTGGTCTCGCTGGAGCCTGCAAGACTTCCCTGTTGAATGTGGCTCTGTTCCAGGGCCAGCTCTGCTGTATCCTAGGGCCCCTGCCACCCCACCTTCTGAGTTAAGCCTCTGCAATGTCAGCCCAGGAGTGAGACCAGCGGGAGGAGAGAGCACAAGACCAGGACAGTGTCACAATGAACAGGTTGGGCCAGGGCTGGAGGGCCTAAGGGATGGGGATCAGGCAGGGCATACACACCGCTGGCACAGTGCATCTGTAAACAGCACTGTGCGAGAACAGAGCAAGACCCGTCCACCTGCAGCCTGTCGCTCAGGGGAGAGTCGAACCAGAGTTACAACAAAGATGTTAGGACCTGCAAAGTCTGAAATAGGGAATGTCTGGCCCTTTACGAAAATGTTCCCTGCATCCTGGGGCAGAAGGCTGCTCAGAGTTTGCAAAGGCAGGTGCCAGACAGCAGGTAGGAAAGAACAGACATAGTGAGACGAGCCAGGTGAAGGGGCCATGATGTGGAGAGAGTAGAGAGGGGTGAGGACTTTGCGGAAGGGAATTCTGGGCTGGAGACGTGTCTCAGTGGTACAGCACATGCGTAGCATGCACAAGGCCCTGGGTTCCATCCCCAGCACAACATGACTAAGTGAATAAATAGTGAGATGTCCTCCATTTAATTACCAGAAGCAACAGGGACTTCTTATGAATGGCCGTCCTGTCCCACCCTCCTTTTTTTTTTTCAGTCCTGGACACTGAACCCAGGCCCTTCACACTGAGCTACACCACCAACACTACCCCTTTCTAATTTTTTTATTTAAGACAGGGTCTTGCTATATAACTAAGTTGCCAGGCTGGGCTCAAACTAACCCTTCTGCCTCAGCATCCGAGAGTGCTGGGATTGCAGGGGTGCTCCGCCATACCTGGCTTCACCCATGCTCATATCCTTAGCCAATGCAGACTACACTCTCTTCCTTCCCCAAAATGTGTGATATTTCTCTCACCTACTTCTGTCTGGGGGACATTTTCCAACCCCTCCTTACCCTGGCAGGTAGTTGTGGGTACTTGTGCTGAGACCTGCTCCGCTCTGTTTCTGGCTAGCATCTCTAATGGCTCACCAACCCCTTTTATTTCGAGATCCCACAGCTTCTAGAGTTTTGGTTTAACAGCTATGGCAGTAGTCATAGAGCACATGCCCGTCTAAAGAGGGCAGGGTGTCCCCAGCTGTCTGGAAATCCAGACATTCCTGTGAACAAACAGGACTCAGCCGGAGTGCCAGCCGTACCGCCTTCTCCCCTTGTGTCCTTGAGTCACTGGCTTGACCTGTCTCAGCTCTACACTGGTGGTGGCAACTGCAGTTACTCCAAGGGGTGATAACTACAAGGAAAACGCAAGAATCCTCTGCTTTGGGGCTGTGGTTCCTAGGTTGGTTCTGGTAGTGGAGTCCAAACCCAGCTCTGACATTTATCAGCTGATGGCTTTGGTGGCAGAAGCTGCCCTGGGGCCCTCAGCTCCCTCTCTAAGAGGGAGTCATAGCGTGATTAGCCGGGTCACTGTGAGTATGAAGGGATAGAGGGCCTGGAGGATAGCTGGGCTCGGTGTAATCCCAGCAGTCTGAAAGGCTGAAACAGGAGGATCAAAATTCAAACCCACCCCAGGCAATGTAGCAAGATCCTATCTCAAGCAATAAAAAATGTTTTTAAAAAGGAAGGGGAGGGGCAGAGAGGTAGTTTGATATGAAGATCTTAGGTCCAATCCCCCGTACCAAAAAATAAAATAATAAAGACCCTGAAGGATCAGCTCACATTCCTTGGGCCCCTTCCTGCTGAGGGTAGTAGCGTGGGGTCACAGGAGGGAGGGAGGGAGTGCAGATTCTGCAGTTAACTGCCGCCCTCCCCTCCCCCTCGACACACCCCCTGGGCCTGTGCTGCAGCTCCACAGGGACTCACCCACCAGGTAAGGCATGGTGTCCCCTGCGAGGCCACCACTCTGCATCCCCTGCCTGGGCCTTAGCCTCAGTCTGTCTCTGAGTCTCTATCCCCTTCACTCTGTGGCTTCTCTTTCTCTCCCCCCTCTCTTTCTCCATCCCTGCCAATTCTGTGTGTCCCCCAAGTGAATCAAGTTCCTCGCTAGAATGGGAGCCGCTCACCCATTTCCCCCACTCCCTGTGGCCCCTCAAGGACTCTTGCGGCTGCAGACACCCCTGACCTTTGACAAGTCTGAGCCACTGGCGGCGACCCTGCCTGCCCTGGATGGGAAGGGCAGACCTCTGGGGCTAGCACTTCTCAGGATGGGGTTCAGTCTCACCCACCATGAAGGAAGGGGACTGGCCTGACCGGGTGGCATTGAGGGTGGGCTGGCTGTCAGCAGAGCACTGAGCTGGGGTATGGGAATGAGCGCCCCGTTAGGCCCAGCAACAAGGCTCTTCTCCCCACTGCACCCCAAACAGGCATCTTTGTGTTCTTGGCCCCATGGACACCCTGAGACAATCCCCCTCCCCCTGCTCCTCGAGGCCCTCCAGCCCCAGGACCCCACCCTGTGAGACCCCTGCCCCCGTGGGCATTGAGGCCGTGCTGGACCAACTGAAGATCAAGGCCATGAAGACCGGATTTGAGTTCAACATCATGGTGGTGGGTGAGTGAGGAGCAAGGGGCTCCTGGACACAAGGCTTGAACATGGCGCCTCAACTCCCCAGCCTCGTCTCCCCATCTCTTAAGGGGTCCTGATCTTGGTACCTGGTAGGAGTGTTGTCCTTGAAAATGGGAAACACAAGCCATTAAAGACAAAAATTATCCACAAAACTCCAACCAAGTGGCAATAATGGGGAGAGAGTCAGAATCCTGGACTTGGTGACACAAGCATGATCTTGTACACCGCTACTGATGCTGATGCTGATTCAGTGTGATTAGTTTGTAAAACTAGCCAGGTAGGATGCCATATGCTTGTAATCCCGGCACTCGGCTGCCACATGTTCCAAAATGAACAAACATGCTAAGGGAAAGAAATCAATCACCAAAAGCCACATAGTGTATTTTCTACTCACAGAGAATGTCCAGAGCAGGTAAACCCATTAGGGGTGGAAAGTAACTTAGTAGTGCCAGGGCTGCAGACAGGGAAAAGGGATTGACTGCTTCAAAGGTACAGGGTCTTTATTCGGAGAGGTGGTGGTTATATAATATTATAAAAATACTTAATATCACTTTATTATGCACTTTAAAATAATAGTCGATAGCCAGATGTGTTGGCACACATCTGTAATCCCAGCACTCTGGGAGGCCAAGGCAAGAGGATTGCCAAATTCAAACCCAGCCTGGGCAACATAGCAAGTCTTTAACTCAAAAAAAAAAAAAAAAAATTGGGGGCCGGAGATTTAGCTCAGCGGTTTCACCGCCTGCTGCACAAGCGCAAGGATCCGAGTTCAATCCCCGGTACCAAAAAAAAAAATGGTCTGGGAATTTAGCTCAGTGGTGCCTCACCTGCCTTGCAAGCACAAGATCCTGAGTTCGATCCCTGGTACCAAAAAAATAAATAAATATAAATAAAATAGTGGGGCTTGGCAGCACAAGCCTGTAATCCCGGTCACGCAGGAGGCCGAGACAGGAGAACTGAAACTTCGAGTCCAGCCTGAACTACACACCAAGACCCTGTCTCAATAAACAAAATGTAAATACATACGTATATGACAAAAAAACAACTAATTTTGTATCATATAAACTTTATTCCCATAAAGAAATGGGAAGGAGAGCATTGAACCAGACATTACAATAGTATGCATTTGTCAATAAACAGTTTATTTTCCAAACTGGGTAATCTGTAATCCCAGACTTTGGGAGGCTGAAGCAGGAGGACTGCTGTGAGTTCAAGGCCAGCTAAACTACATAGCAGGACCTTGCTTCAAAAAAAAAAAAAAAAAAAAAGACCAAAATGAAATAGTTTATTTTCCAAAATATGATATTTATTTAAGAGTTTGAGACACACTGCCTAAAATTCGCACCATGACTGCTGTCATTGGTCCCTTCCAGGGCAGAGTGGGCTGGGCAAGTCCACAATGGTGAACACACTGTTCAAGTCCAAAGTATGGAAGTCGACCCTGCCAGCACCGGGAGTGCCTACACCCCAGACGCTGCAGCTGCACTCAGTGACCCACGGTGAGTGAGCCCCAGCGGCATCCCTGCCACCCCGCCCAGGCCAACCTGTCCCTCCGCTCTCCTCCCTCTGCAGTCATCGAGGAGAAGGGCCTGAAGCTGAAGCTCACAGTGACAGACACACCCGGCTTCGGGGACCAGATCAACAACAGCAACTGGTGGGTCAGGGAGCCCACTCCCGCTGCTGCCCTTCCGACCTCTGGGACACCCCAGCAGTTTCATCTTCCAGCCTCAGTTTCCTTGTCTGTACAGTGGGTGTCCTCAACACCCCCTCTAGAGGGGCAGAACATGAAGGGCTCAGCCGGCCATTTGCACAAAGTAAGCACTCAGTATCGGTCTGGGTATCACAGTTCAGGAGCCACACTCCCGAGTCAGAATTCCTGGGTCAGGCTGACATCACCAAGACTGGTCATGGTCATGGAGCTCTAGGAGCCTTGGTTTCCTTCACTGTAACTTGGGAGTGAGAACTCATTGGCTGAGAGGAGTTGGTCACAGACACGCACGCACACACACACACAAACACACACACACACACACACACACACAGCCAGGATCAGCTGCTTAATTTGTGGGATCCAGTGCAGTGACAATGTGGGACCTTTAATTCAAAAATTATTAAGACCATCAGCCAAGTACTGTACGGCAGCACATGCCTATAATCTTAGGTGTTCAGGAGGCTGAGGCATAAGGATCCAAGTTTGAGCCCAACCTGGGCAACTTAGTGACTTAGTGAGACCCTATCTCAAAAGAAAAACTAAAAAGCTCTGGGGATGTAGCTCAATGGCAGAGCATCCTGAGTTCAGTTCCCAATACTGCACCCCCAAAAATTTATAAGACCACAGCTTTCTAAGTTTGGCACCCTGTGTGACTGCACTGTAGCCCTCCTATGAAGCTGGCCCTGCACGTGATGCTTTGTTGAGCACCTACTATGTGCTGAGCTCTGCTCTAGACATGGGCAATCCAGTGAGGAACAAGACAGGTAAACACCCTGGCCTCCACGGAAGAGAGAACATAGGGAGGACAGATGATGAACAAAATCAGTTAGAGGGTAGCTGAGCCTGAAATACACTGTCCATGCAAGTCTTTATAAGAGAGAGACAGACTAGGGAATGGACCCAGAGAGCATCTCCAGCCCATTTTATTTTGAGACAAGGTCTTGCCCAGTTGTCTGGGTTGGCCTCAAACTTGTAATCCTCCTGCCTCATCCTCCCTAGTAGCTAGAATTACAGGCATGTGCCACTGTGCCTGGCTGAATCAAAACATTTGTGAGCATGAAAGAGATCACTGTTGATAATTACACTGAAGTGGGAGCTAGGGTGTAGCTTAGTGGTAGAGGAAGGCTGAGGGATCCATCTCCTGTAGGGGTGGCTTTGGGGCAGACTTCCTGGAGATGAGAAGTGAGGCACATGGATATGCAGGGGAACGGTGGTCCAGGCAGAGGATGCAGCAAGGGCAAAGGCCCTGTGGTGGGGCAGGCCTGATGCCTGTGGGAACAGGAGCGATAGGGAGAGGGTAGGAAGGAAAAGGGTGTGGGCTGGTGTAGGGCCTTGTATGGCAATGGCTTTTCTTTGGCTACTGGAGGTTGAGCAGAAAAAAGGATGTAGTCTGACCTTTGTTTCATTTTGTTTTAGTTTTGTGGTGCTGGGGATGGAACCCAGGACCCAGGACCTCAAGAATGTTAGGGAAGTGCCTACCACTGCACCACACCCCCCTCCCTGACCCTTCTTTTAAAGGATCTGTTCGAAGAGGGAGGAACCCACAGAGAGGAGTCAGGAGACTCCTTGCAGCAATCTTGCAAGAGTCAAAGATGGCTTGGACCAGGCCGACAGCCAACTGCATCATTTCATGCTCCCCTCGCCCTTACAAAGCAGGTGCTGCTATCTATGGTCCCCATGTTACAGACCAGGAAACTGAGACCTCAGGCTGAGAATGGCGTGGAAGGTCCTCTCTGTCTCTCTGATGATGCAGGGGAGGGAAAGGGTGATAGGGTGACAGAGTGGCCCTTGACAAACCGAGACCAGGAGTCACCCTAAGAGCAGTCCGTCCAGTGGACCAGGGAGGCCGAGCAGAGGTCCTGGGGTGGGGATCTGAGGGGAGGCGTCTCCACTCCAGCTGGGAACCCATCCTGGGCTACATCAATGAGCAGTACGAGCAGTACCTGCAGGAGGAAATTCTCATCACGCGCCAGCGCCACATCCCCGACACCCGGGTGCACTGCTGTGTGTACTTCGTGCCACCCACTGGGCACTGGTGAGGTGGCTGGACCAGCCTGGGGAGGGAGAAAGAGGGGTCCCCAGGGTGGGCTTCAGCCTGCCTCTCCCCTCACTTGTACCTTTGACACCACTGCTACTGCTGCCCCTGCCCTTCCCGGGCAGCCTGCGCCCCCTGGACATTGAGTTCCTGCAGCGGCTGTGCCGGACTGTGAATGTGGTGCCCGTGATCGCCCGGGCTGACAGCCTGACCATTGAGGAGCGTGAGGCCTTCAGGAGCAGGGTGATCTGGGTGTCCGAGCCAGGGCTGGGATCAGGGTGGCCCTGGGCAGAGTAGGCAGAGTGGGCTAAAGTCACCTGTGTTTGGTCCCCAGATCCAGAAGGACCTGAAAAGTCACTGCATTGATGTGTATCCACAGAAGCACTTCGATGAGGACGTCAACGACAGAATTCTCAACAGCAAGATCCGGGTAAGAGGCAGCGGGACCGCAGGCTGGTGGGACTGAGGCTGCTGATCTTTCCACTCGTCCTCTCCATCTGAAGGTTCATTGCTTTCTACAACTCAGGGAAATGTGCATGTATTTCCAGCAGACCAGAATTTCCATTCATCCACTAACTCCACATCCATATTCACAGAACAGGAGGAAATGTTCACAATCACATCTATAATATGGAGCTTCTATTCTGAAGCTATAAAGAACTCTTACAACTCAATAATAAAAGACAACTCAGTTTAGAAATGGAAGTAAGGTGGGACATGGTGGCACACCCCTATGATCCCAGCATTCTGGAAGGCTGAGGCAGGTGGATGGATCCCAAGTTTGAGTCCAGTTGGGCAGCTTAATGACTTAGCAAGATCTTTTGTCAAAATAAAAAAAGTGAAAAAGGATAGGGGATATAGCTCAGTGTAAAGGCCCTGGCTTAATCCCCAGTGCCACATACACACAAACACACAAAGGGTAAGGGCTGGAGATGTAGCTCAGTGTAGAGTACTTGCCTAGCATGCACAAGGCCTTGGGTTCAATCTTCAGCCCTGTAATAAGAAAAACAAAATGGGTGAAAGATTTGAATAGATATTTCTCCAAAGTTTTACATATGGCTGAAAAGCACACAGAAAGGTATCAAAAACCATCAGTCATTAGGGTAATGCAAATCAAAACCACAGTGAGAGGGCTACTCCACACCCATCTGAGTGGTGCCTTAGCCAGTTTTCTGTTGCTACAACAGAACACCTGAGACTGGGAAGCTTATAAAGAAAGAACCTCATTTAGATCACGGTTCTGGGCTGGGGCCATGGCTCAGTGGTAAAGCACTTCCCTAGACCACGGTTCTGAAAGTCCAAGATAGAGCAGTCGCCTCTGGCGAGGGCCTCATGCTGCTGCACCCATAGTGGCCATGTGAAGGGCAGCGGTGTTTGCAGAGAGGTGACACATCTGGTCCCACAAGAGCAACAACTCACTCTGCAGAAGGCGCTAACCTACTGGGGGCTCCACCCTCCCAACTGCCCCACCTCCTAACACTGCTGCAGTGGCCACCGCCTTCAACCAGAGTCTTTTCTCTCTCAATTTTTATTTTTATTAGTACATGTCCATGGCACATAATGATTACATTTCTTAGGTGGAGTTGGTATGTGTCCATATTACACCTTAACTCTTTATTCCCCCCTTCCCTGCCTCTCCCTCCCATCTCCCCAGCTCTCTTGGCTCCTTCCCCTCCCATTTACAAAAGATCTCTCTCCTTATTTCCTATTATCTATCTTTTATTTTGCTCCTTATTTATATTTGGGTTTCTCATATAAGAGAAACTATGTGATATTTAAGCTTGTGTGTCTGATTTATTTCACTTGACGTTACGGTCTCAAGGTGCATCCAGTTTTCTACAAATGACTCAAGTTTATCCTTCTTTATTGTGGAGTAGTACTCCATGGTGTATAAACACCACATTTTTTAATCCACTTATCTGTTGATGGACAGATAGGCTGTTTCCAAGGTTTAGCTATTATAAGTTGTGCTGCTATAAACATGGGGACACATGTACCACTGTAGCATGATGTCTGTAACTCTTTTGGGGAAATACCTAGAAGGGAAATAGCTGGGTGTAATGGAATTTCTTGTTTTTTTGAGGAATCACAATACTGATTTTCATAGTGATCATACTAGTTTACACTCCCACCAATATAGGAAGGGTTCCCTTTTCCCCCCAGCCTTACCAGCATTTGCTATTATTTGATTTCTTGATGATGGTCATTCTTTCTAAGGTAAGATGGAATCTCAGCATTGTTTTAATTTCTCTAATGGCCAGACATGTTGAACATTTCTTCATGTATTTATGAGCCATTTGTACTTCTGAGAATTATCTATTTATTTCAGTTGCCCATTTTTTGATTGAGTCTTTATTTGCGGAGTTTTATTTTTATTTTTTTAATTTTTTTTATATATTCTAGGTATTAGTCCTTTATCTGAGGAACAGCTAGCAAAAATTTTTTCCCTGAATTTGAGTTTGGAAAGAGAGACAAGCCACAGCACAGGGTCATAATAAAAAGAAATATTGGGCCGGGGATGTAGCTCGGTGGTGCCATGCCTGCCTGGCAAGTGCAAGGTCCTGAGTTCGATCCTTCATGGTGCAGGGGGCGGGCGGGGCGGTGCCTGGGTGCAGAGGAACCAGAATCCTCACACACCGCTGGTGGACTGCAGAGTTACAGATCAGGAAGACAGTCCGGCAGCTCCTCAAATGTGTAAACATCCCTTACTCTATGACCCAGTAACCACACTACCAGGTTGCAAACACATGTTCATGAAAACATAAATTCACACAAACGAAAATGAAACCACACATCAACTCAAACAACATGTACATGAATGTTCACTGCAGCACTGACCGTGACAAGAGTGGAAATGACCCAACTGCCCATCAGCAGATGAGTGGATAAACACAGTGAGCTCTACCCACACCATGGGGTGGTGCTCAGCACAGGAAGGAAGGAAGCATGGACACAGGCAGCAGCATGGGTGAATCTTGAACACTGTGCTAACCGAAAGAAGCCAGACACAAAAGGCCCGTACTGTATGATAGTATTTATATGAAATGTTCAGAATAGGCAAATCCACAGGGACAGAAAACAGATTTGTGTGTGCCGAAGCCTGGGGAAAGGATATAGGGTTTCTTTTTGGAGTAATGCAAATGTTGTAGAATTAGATAATGATGAAGGTTGCATACCTGGTGAATATACTGCAACCTACTGAACTACACACTTTAGTTAGTTAGTTGCTTGCTTTTGTGGTACTGGGGATTGAACCCAGGGCCCCAGCCCTTTTTTGATTTTTTGAGAGAGGGTTTCACTAAGTCACTAAATTGACTAGTCTGGGCTCAAACTTACCATCCTGCCTCAACCTTCCAGAGTGCTGGAATTACAAGCATGTGCCACCATGCCTGGCTTGAACTATATACATTGTAAGAGAATGTAGATATGTGAATTATACCTCAATAAAGCTATTATAAAAGAAGAGACAGGGGCCGGGGATTTAGCTCAGTGGTTCCGCTACCTGCCTCGCAAGTGCAAGGACTTGAGTTCAATCCCCGGTACCAAAAAAAAAAAGTGAAAAAAAGAAGAGACAGACAAAGGTAACAAGCAAGCTCACATCTTCATTTTTCTCCAAATCAACTGAATTCCTGCCCTAAGCTCCATCCTTCCACCTATGTGGCACATTCACTGTCAGTCCATCTGGATGCTGCAAAACCAGGACTCATCACCCATAGACCCCAGCCCTCAACCCCTCTCGCTGGGACTCTGCTAACCTACACAGTGCTTTCTGTAGGAAGGAGAAGTGCTTCCTTCATAGCTGGGGCCCGCATGTGGTTTTAGCCCCATCCAGCCTCATGGTCAGTTGTCTTTCTGTGCAGTGTACACATTACACATCTGTACATGGAGGACTTGCTTCTCATCAGTGACCCAATTCCTCTCTACAGCCCCTTCTTTCTCCTCCCCACTGAAGCAATGAACCCAGGTTCCTGTGTAAGATAAAAGCCTAATCTCCACCAGCTTGTGCTTTCTGTCCTGAAGCAGGCTAGACACCACTGGAACAGAGCTTGGGGAATTACAAGGAGAAAGTACTCAACATCTCAGTAAAGCATTCAGATACATGCATTTAGCATGGGCTGGCATGAAATAAGCATGCAACTATAGTTATTATTATTAACCTTATTCCCCACACAAATTAACTCTACAAAATAAAAATAAAAGTTGGGGATACAGCTCAGTGGTATATAGTGCTTGGCTAGGAGGTACAAGGCCCTGGGTTTGATCCCCAGCACTTAATAATAATAAGGGCTGGAGATTTAGCTCAATGGTTCTGGCACCTGCCTTGCAAGCACAAGGTCCCGAGTTTGATCCCTGGTACCAAAAAATAATAATAATAATGGGCCGGGGATTTAGCTCAGTGGTTTAGCTGCCTGCCTCTCAAGTGCAAGGTCCCGAGTTCAATCCCCAGTACCAAATAATAATAATAATAATAATAATAATAATAATAATAATAATAATAACCAGGCTCAGGGACATATGCCTGTAACCTCAGGTACTTGGAAGGCTGAGGCAAAAGGATTGCAAGTTCAAGGCCTACCAGGGCAACTTCGTGAGACCCTGTCTCAAAACAAGAAAATAAAAATGGCTGGGGATATAACAGTGTAGAGCACCCCGGTTTCAATTCTCAGTACTGCAAAATAAATAAATAAATAACATATACATATGCAGTGCTTTGGAGATTACAAATTTGAATTTGCACTCGTGACCATAATAGAGAGAGCAGCAAGATTTTACAGTAGGGTGGGCTTAGCAGACTTTTTGCAAAAGGTGAGATGGTAAATGTTTCAGACTCTGTGGGCCAGACAGTCTCTGCTGCAATTACTCAACTCCACTGTTGTGGTTCATAATGGCACAGACCAGGGAAGAGGAATGAATGGGCTTAACTTTGTGCCAGTAAAATTCTCTGGAGGAAACCAGGCAGCGAGTACAGGCTAGCTATGAGCCACAGGTTGCCAGAGCCTGGTCTATAAAGTCACTTATTCTTTTAAATTTTATTTTATTTTATTAAAAATAAAACATAGGGAGGGAAGGGAGGTTGAGGGGAAGGGGGACATGGAAAAATAGGGGTGGGATGTAAGATGTACAGGTGCAAATTCCCTACGAGTGTTAATGTATGCCTAAAACGTCCCGATAAATGTTGTGCTATTAAAAAAGAAAAATAAAACAAAATTTCATAACAATAGAATAAAAATAGTAACAGTTAATACATTTTTATCATTATCTTCAAAATAGTCACTCAGAGTACAAGACATAGAGAAAAAAGATTCTTACAAAGAAGAAACAAACAGATAATAGCACAAAACTTTCTTTCTTTCTTTTTTTGGTACCGGGGATCGAACTCGGGTCCTTGTGCTTGTGAGGCAGGCGACGGAACCACTGGGCTAAATCCCCAGCCCAGCACAAAATTTTCTTTTCAGTGAACTAAGAGAAGCTAGTAGTATAAATGAAACAAATTAGCATAATATTAAAATGTTTTTGAAACAGTGGAATAGGTAATTTGTCAGACACACGAGATTAAATATCACATGTTTCTCTTATACGAGAATATATACACACAAAGAGCAAAAAAGAAGAAGTAGGGAGAAGTTCAAGTACAAAGTCAAAGTCACTTATTTTGACCTCAGAAGGTGATCACTAGGCCTAGTGTGGTGGTGCATGCCTATAATCCTTGTACTTGGGAGGCCGAGGCAGGAGGATCATTCGCTGGGAGTTTGAGGGCAGCCTGGACTACATGGTGAGACCCTGCCTCAAAAACCAAAAACCAAAAAGAAAAGGTTATTATTGTTTGTTTCCATGTCACAAGTAAGAAGTTAATCTTAGCATATATTTTTCTATCTTTCTTTCTTTTTTTTTTTTTTTGCACTTCTGGGGATTGAGCCAAGAGCCTTGCACATACCAAGTGCAGGCTGTATCACTGAGCTACACTCCAAGCCCCAAGATTATATCATTAACAGCCGGGGATTTAGCTCAGTGGTTTTGTCACCTGCTGTGCAAGCACAAGGACCCGAGTTGATCCCTGGTACCAAAAAACAAAAAAAAAGATTATGTGGTTAACATGGCTATTAACAAAGACACAGATGTGTGGGGGTGCACACCTGTAATCCTAGCACTGGGAAGGCTGAGGCAGGAGGATCACTGCGAGTTCCAAGCTAGCCTGGGCTATGTGGTTAGTTCAAGGTCAGCCTGAACTACATAGCAAGATCCTATTTTTAAAAATATAAAAAAACAAAAAGACAGTTTCCAAGGGTAACTCTGCTAACTTTTCACTATGTCAAAACCTTTACTAGTGCTCACAAAGCCCTATGCCAGTCCTATTAAGGTCCCCATTTCACAGATGAGGCAACAGAGGCGTGGTGTTAGCTACTGTGTCTTTGGACTCCTTAGAACTTTCATCCATCCCGTTTCAACAAAGGACAGTGTCCCTGCCTCCTGTCTCAGTGGCTCCCCCACAAGCCCATCCTCCCACCTCCTCCTGTCCCTAGGAACGGATCCCATTTGCCGTGGTCGGGGCAGACCAAGAGCACTTGGTGAACGGGAGGTGTGTCCTAGGCCGGAAGACCAACTGGGGCGTCATCGAAGGTCAGTGCTGGGAGGCTGGGAGGATGCAGGGGAGGGCAGGTTGGAAACCAAGGTGTGCCCTATGCCTTTGGCATCCTTGGTACCTTCTCTGGACCGGGCAGTTAAGTTCACAGGGGACAGATAGACCTGGAAAAGGCTCCTCTCACCATCTGGGAAGCCTTGAGCAAATTACATCACTGGGCCTCAGTCTCTTCATAGCAAAATGGGGTTCTTAGGGTAACATCAACATCACAGGGTGCCTGGAGGTGGCAGCACCACTGCTTTGAACAACCTCAGAACTGCAGGTGCCCTATGGGCTCATTTACTGTGGACCGACTATGTGCCAGGCACCACTCTGTGCAGTTCCTGAAGAACTATAACAAAAGCAGGACTGATGAGTCCCTGTCTCCATCGTGCTAAGGAAACAATGGCAGAGGGAGAAAGACAGTAAAGGAAATTGGTGGGAGGGAGGTAGCAGGAGCCTAGGGAGTTGAGGGAAAGGCTGGAAAGTGAGGGAGAAGGAGCAGCCTGGACCTGGCCCCCGATTTATTATTATCAGCAGTACAAATATATGTATATTATCTAGGGTACAATAAGCATAATACGATATAATAATAATGGTGGGTTGAACAACTTTTTATAAGAATCACCCTACCAGGTCCAAGAACGAATTAAGGAATGAACAAACAAAGGAAGGGGAGGTGGGATAACACAGTGAGAAACGTGGGAAAATGGCAGTGGCAGGTCTCAGGTGGCACACAGTATAGAGCAGGTGCTTACTCAGTGCTCACTGAGGGCAGGGCAGCTGCACAGTGCCCGATCGGTACCATGTCTCACAGTGGAGAACATGGAGCACTGCGAGTTTCCTCTCCTGAGAGATCTGCTCATCCGGTGAGGCCTGGGCTGCCCTGGGGCTGGGGAGCTGGAAAGGGAGCTCCAGGGGTTGGAGTTGGGGTGTGGCTGGGGTTGACCTGCCTCCCACTGCCCAGCTCCCACCTCCAAGACCTGAAGGACATCACTCACAACATCCACTACGAGAACTACCGTGTTGTCAGACTCAAAGAGAGCCACCAGCTGCCTCGAGGGCCAGGATGGGTGAACCTGTCCCCCGTGAACCTGGCTCCCACCTCTGCTGGACAGCCGACTACACCCAGACCCTCAAAGGCCCGCAAGCGGGCCCAGGAGGAGCCCAAGTATGAGTTCTGAGCCCCAAAAGATCTGGACCTGCTTGGCTCCCCAAATTCTTAGCAACCAGCCCTCAACACACATCTGTGTCCTACAGCGTCTATTAAAGGTGGACATTGTCTTATAAAAAGCTATGGTTTGATGACAAAAGGCATTTTGTAAATGACTTCCTTGAGCTATCTTCAAGTGAAAGCATGGTTCTTTTAAGTAATAGTGTGAGATCCATTATCCAAGGTCCTTGAGAGGTTTTCCCCCTCCATCAAGATCCAGAGCTGGACTTCTCACTCCTGATCTGGGGCTGGACTATGAACACTACAACCTCTCCATCAGCTGGGTATGGTGGTACACGCACGTAACCCCAGCACTCTGGGAGGCTAAAGCAGGAGGTTCAAAAGTTCAAGCCTAGCCTGGGCAGCTTAGTGAGACTCTTGGCTCAAAATAATAAATTAAAAATGGGCCAGAGATGTAGCTCAGTGCAGAGGCCCTGAGTTCAATCCTCAGTACCCAAAACAAACAGATAAACCACCCTCTCATTGGTGGTGGACCTCTGGCTGTCTTCCCCGAACCCTGAGCCATGTGGGCCCCACCTGACTATTTTATTTTCTTTTTTTTTCCATTAAGTTTAATGGTACATTTTAGGTATAAATACAGTTACATTCATCACTGGGATCCTGTACCTTTCTTTACATGATGTATCTTGGTCCACCTGACTATTTTCTAAGCCCTACCAGATGAGGATGCTGAGCAAATGGTTCCTCACTTGGCATCTTGCCAGGCCACTGTGAAAATCCAGGTTGAGCATGTCACATACTCTCTGTGCCTCCGTTTCTTTTTTCTTTTCAGACAGGGTCTCCTCCTGGGTCAGCCTGGGATTACAGGTGTGCACTCCCATATCCAGTTGATCAGGACACTCTTGTAGCATTGATGCTCAGACAAAACTGATCCTTCCTCAAGCATGCTTGACCCACACCTGAGAAAGTGAAAAGACAGAGGTGCCAGCAATAGGATGGCTCCAGGCCAGGGGACCTGGGGCACAGTGAGTGAACTGTGCTCTCCCACGATGCTCAGCACCCTCAAAGATAGATGGATTTCACAGGGTTTCATGTGATGGGGCTGAAGTTCATTCAGTTCATTAATTAAAGGAAGAGGGACACCCATAATCCAAGGGACTAGAGGGACACCACACCTCCTGTAAGACCTGAGGTCATGGTGACCATTCAGTGACAACAGTAAGCAGTAGTAATATCCTAGCTACAAGTCACTGCTTTCGTCAAACCCTCGACTTCCCCAGGTGAATCACATGGTTTGTTTTCTGAATAATCTCCTCCATTAGACTGGGACCTCTGTGGCAGCAGAATGTCAGTTTCATTCCTACAGCCAGCGCATGGCAGACACTCAGGATACAACTGTTTAGTGAAAGGTCCCTGTGCTGCCAGCCTCATAGCTGTTGATCACTGAATTCACACACCTGCTTCTCCACTGTATCCTGGTTAACTCCAGGCTTGGATTGTTCTGGCCTTGGAGTCCATGAGCACACACACCACCCATACCCAACATCTCAGAAGGGGCAAGTTGAAACCTAGAGGATGAGACATTGCCCCATGCTGAAGCACATTCCCAAGTTTAAAATTAGCCTTAGGCAGTATGGAAATGTCTACAAGATTTCTACAGCACACATTCTTTGGCTCAGCAAATGCATTTCTAGGAATGGGTGTTAGAGATAATCCTGCATGTCTCAACCTCAGCCTTATTGACATTTAAGGCTGGATCATTCTTTGCCATCCTGTGTAATGCAGGATGTGTAGCTGCATCTCTGTCTTCCACCTACTATACACCAGTAGTAACTCCTCACACTGTGACAACAAAAATTACCTAGATATGTCACATGTCCCCTGCAGGGGGACAATCTCCCAGGCTAGGAGTAATGATGCCCATGCATATGTGTACAGAGTATCCTTCGAGGGTATCTGGAGTAGTAAAGGAGGGTCATACTTGTCAGGTCTGATTTAAGTGAGTCCTTCACAAACAAAAGGGACAAAGCAAACAAGCTGCTTTTATCAAACAACAGCAGGTTCTCAGTAAATAGGGAAAATGGACCCAAAGTCAAGTATATAACCCCTCAGGTGCCAAGAAGTCCAGTAATTGTGTACACACTTGAGCAGACTGTCCTTGGGCATCCAAGTCATAAATATTTCACCCCAGATTCCTTGGCCCCTTCAATATCTATATGAGCCTCATTCCTTTCCCAGTTAGTGGCTAATATCTCATCTCCTCTCAGAGATGAAATCTCTCCCAGCTAGCTGCCACTATCTCTCTCTCCCATTGGGCTCAGCCCATCCACACATGGATGAGATAAACTCAGCTTTTCCCAGCCTAACTGCTAGAGTCTCCTGAATTTCGTCTCTGTTCACTGAAATAAACTTTCCTTTCAAAAGCCTATTTCTGACAAGTGGATTCTTTATAACAATACTTTCTCTAGAGCCCCCAGAAGAGAATCCACCTCCTTGCATTTCCCAGTTTCTAGAGAATTCACTTCCTTGCATTTCTCAGCTTCTACAACTATGTTACTTGCTTGTGGTACCTTTCTCCATTTTCAGAGCTAGCAACTTAGCTAGCTTTTCTTTTTCTTGTGGTGCTAGAGATTGAACCCAGGACCTTTGCACTGAGCTACATCCCCGGCGATAGATGACAGATAGATAGATAGATAGATAGACAGGCAGAGACAAGATCTTATTAAGTCTCTAAGTTGCCCAGGCTAAGCCCAGGCTAAGCTCGAACTTGCAATTCTTCTGCCTCAGCCTCCCAGAGTAATGGGATAATAGCTATGTGCCACCACACTCAGCTAGCAGCTTAGCCCCCCCCCACACACACACACACTCACACACTCACACATACACTCTGGTACTGGCTGGGGATTCAACCCAGGGATGCTCTACCATTGAGCTACATTTCTATTTATTTATTTATTTGGGATGGGGTTGTGCTAAATTGCCCAGGCAGGACTTGAATTTTTGATCCTCTTCCCTCACCCCTCAGGCTGGGATTATAGTCATGCATCACCATGCCCAGTTTAGCAGTTTAGTTTCTTGTTCCAGGGGTCACACTGCCTTGTTCTGGGTCAAATCCTCCTCTGCCTCTCTTGTAAAGATACATATGGTTACACAGGACCCACCAGGACAATTCAGAATAATCTCCCCATCTTGAAATCCTGAATTTAATCGCATCCACCAAATCCCTTTTATCATATAAGGTAACACATTATTTGCAGGTTCCAGAGCACAAAGTGGGTATCACTACCCGACATCTTTCAGCCCACTACAGGCAGCCAAAGCTTCCAGGGCCCACCATGCACATTGAAGCAGAAGGTTCTCCAGGGAACAAAACCAGGTCACTGCGCCAGGAGCTTGCATCTGTTTTACACCATTTGGTAACTCTACCATAGATGTGATTAATGATTAGCTGTGTAATTATTCTGTCAGTGTATGCCTCTTTTGGTAGAATGCAAACTCCAGGAAAACAGGCACCTGCTCACCGCTCAGAATGCTGGTGCCTGGTAAAGCTGACAGATATGATGATTCAATGTGCAGTTGGTTTTGTTGTTGTTTGTTTGGGGGTTTGTCTGAGACAGAATCTCACGATGTAGTTCAGATTGGCCTTGAACTGTGTAGCCCAGGCTGGCCTCGGACTCAGGGCGATCCTCCCACTTCTGTCTCCCAGCCTCAATGTACAGCTTCTTCTCTTCTTTTCTTTCCTTCCTTCCTTCCTTCCTTCCTTCCTTCCTTCCTTCAATGTACAGCTTTAAAACAGGTGAAGGGATGAATGGTTGTGAAAGAGTCCCAACCTCGAGAGTTAACGTTCTGTTCCTCTTTGTGGATTCGCTCCCTCCCTCCCCCAGTACTGGGGACTGAATCCTCGGCTTTCGCATTGAGCTACAACCCCACCCCTTTTAAAATTTTGACACGAGGTCTCACTGAGTAACTAGGGCGCCCAGGCTTGGCTCCAACTTGCGGTTCTGCTTTAGCCTCCCAAAGTTCTGGGATTACAGGTGTGCACCCCCGCCCCTCCCCCATGTGGACGTATCTCTATGACAAGGACGCGGCCGCCTGGAGGCTGAAGCAACTTCCTCTGAGCCCCTCGCAGACCTGTCTTTCGGACAAACGTAAAGCAGCAAGGGTGAAGCCCGGGCGGAAGTCCAAACCTCGGGTCTCTCGGTGGTAGGGGCGGCGCGGGCCACTCTGGGAAGTGTAGTCCGGTGCACTGCCCGGGACCCGCGCTCGCGACTTCCACTTCCGGTGGGGCAGGGTACCGTCCCCTCTCGCGAGGTTTTGAAATGGACGCGCGAGACCGCCGGGGTGGATCCGGACTAAGGGGCGGGGCCTTAGTGGAGGGGGCGGGACCAGGTGGGTTCCCTTTACCTGAGACCCCCGCCCCGGAAGCCAACCTGAATATGCGCCTACTGTGTGCACTTCGCTGCATTCCTTCGTCGGTTGCTGGTGCTCTTTCTCGTGTGTGGAGCTGGCAGAGGGAGACCTGGGAAGGTGCCCTCATGAGTCTATGAATGTTTCTTTCTCTCCAGGCCGAGCTGAGTGAGCTTCGAAGCACAATTATCAACCTGCTGGACCCTCCTCCTGAAGTGTCTGCTCTTATCAACAAGCTGGATTTTGCCATGTCAACATACTTGTTGTCTGTGTACCGGCTGGAATACATGAGGTACACGAGCCTTTACCTCCTGCACATCTGTGTTTGAGCGCAGTTTTACATTTTTGTGCCATTCTACACATGGGATTTTTTTCTAGCTCCTTCCAAGACCTAAAAGCTTTCCTAAAAAATCATACTAATAGGCTGGGGATAGTGGCACATGCCTATAATCCCAGTACTTGGCAGGTAGAAGTAGGAGGATCGCTGTGAGTTCAAGGCCAACCTGGGCTACATAATGAGTTCAAGGCCAGCTTGGACAGCATAGGGAGACCCTGTCTCAAAAAACCAAAAAAGAAAAAAAAAAAATAGCAAAAGCAAAAGCAAAACAGAAGCTAACAAACAAAAACTAACAAAAATAGCCTTTACTTGGGCTGGGGAATTTAGCTCAGCGGTTTCGCTGCCTGCTGCGCAAGTGCAAGGACCAGAGTTCGATCCCCGGTACCAAAAAAAAA